AAGTCTATGGAACACAAAATGTCACTGAAATCACTCTGTCCTTCTAAAATCTTTCAGAAAATCGTAAAAATGCACGGAACCGTGATACATATCGTATCATGACCAGAATATCGTCTATCGTATCGTATTGTGAAATTATTGTATTGCTACACCCCTACTCAGATATTTCATTTCGCCTTACAGAAATTCATTGCTGAATCAAACGTAAGACAAAACACAATACAGAAATTCAGTTCAGATGATTATTTTGCTACACATATGAATGTATATGTATTCTGGCACCTTTTTTTAAAAAAATATGTTACTTTTTGGATTTAATGTTAATGTTGTCAAAAAATGTAAAATATTTAGTCACTAATGAACTTTATTAAAAAAAATTGTGAAAAATAAAATGCACATCGCCAAACTAAGTTCTGATGTTTCTGACTGGCTGTTGCAAAACTGCATCTCCAACAGTTTTGCACTGCACCAGCTGCACTCTTTCTCTCTTCTTTATGCTGTAGAGAGGCAAACTGCTTGCAAGGCTGCTAAATCACAGACATTCCACTCTAAAACTTCATGCTGCTTGTGATTAAATTCACAATTACACTCATCCAGAATGAGCAGCTCTCTGATAGAAGTATATCTTAATGGTCCAGTTGTAGGAGAAATGCTGTTTGGAGTTTGCAGTGATGTAAAATCACAAGCCAATCCAGGGTTTCCCCCAGAAAAACTTGTTAAGCCTGGTGGTCGGGGTGCCAAGGCAGTCCACCAGTGAGCCTGTTTTTTGCATTAAAAAACTTTATGTTGACAGAAAATATAAAAATATCTCTGGTTACTTATGTTACTGGAAGACATTGTTGACAGTGTTTAAGCACACAGCTCCAGTCTTAAAGCCAAAAATATTTCAATTAAAATAAATATATTTTTTGCACATCTGTTAAATCCCAATTAAGTAATCAGCCAGTGACTATTCAAACACTGTGTAATGCTGGTCACATTTAGAGTTGACCCAAGACATAACTGAACTAAGCAACTACTTTTGGTTCCTCAGACATTCAGGATTCCCATAAATACTAACATTTTAACACAGATTTATCTAGAACTTTAACATTTATTGGGAATATCAATACTGTTAAATTTAATTAAATGGTTTCAGCATTGATAAATCAAAAGATTTTTTAATTGTTTAACATTTAAATTTAAGATTTTAAAGTGCTGGCAAGTTTACTTTGTAAAATTGCAAACAATCTTCATAGTTTTTCTTACAATAGCGAGAATCCTTTGCTTTGAGTTAATCTTTGAGTTTGAGCTTCGTTAGGGTTAGCTCTGCTCAATAGTCAGTTGATTGTTAACAAAGACATACAAATTCCTTCACATATAATATATTTCTGAATGTATTTTGTTATCTCGGCAAATTACAATGACCTTGAGGACAAAAGTAACCCTCCTCCTTTGGTTTATTTTTTTGTATGGGTCTTTAATTTTTTTTTTTTTTTGAAACACTGAATTTGGAGTTTTCATTAGTTGTCAGTTATAATCATCAACATTTGAAGTATAGTGATCCTTCGTTTTTTGCGGGGGTTACGTTCCGAAAATAACCTGCAATAAGTGAAATCCGCGAAGTAGTTACATTTATTTTTTTTTACAACTATTACAGAGCATAATTAAATACTGTACATTGAAACCAAAGAACAAAACCTGTTTACAGGTCAGCGGATGTGCGTGTGCATCAATCACAGCATTAATGTCATCCGGAGTCATGTCATTAAAGCGTCTCCTCCAATCTGCTTTACGAGATTCACAGTTGTATCTACGGCAAAGCCTCTGGCCACATTTTTTTTCAGCAGGCATTCAACGTTTCAGTTTCCATCTCCTGAATGGCCAATGTATATTACGTATATTTTAGCCAATCAGGACGCAGAACACAATGCATTGTGAAAAAAACTGCACAAAAAAAATCCGTGAAGCAGTGAGACCGCGAAAGGTCAACCGCGTTATAGCGAGGGTTCACTGTATATCAATCTGTGTAATGTATTAATATAATATACAAGTTTAACTTTTTGAATGGAATTACTGACATAAAACAATCAGTCAATCACGATATTCTAATTTTGTGATCGGCACCTGTACTTTAAGAAAATATGAAACAATCTTAGCTCAATGTTTGCAAAGCAATGAAAACAGCCCTGGGGTTTGGGAGCATGCAGTTACTCGAGCATGAAAGCTAAAAATCAAAATACGTACAGATATTACTTCAACAGAGATGTCCGGGGCATATATTGTGGTGTTACTTGTTGAGCATTTTTAAAAAGAATATTTCCTTTTATATTAATCAGTGTGTCCCCCAGGGACATGGATTTGCGGAGCGGGTGGGTGGTGGGCAAATGTTTAACGATGCTCAGATTGATTGGCCCCATTTTCTTTAATTTTGGGTGATGGATGATTGGTCGACATTTGCATGTGAAACTGATCTTATCCACTGATCTTTTCTACCACCACAAGGATCTAATAGAAGGCTGAGTTTAGCAATAGTCAGCCTACTGTTGCCAACTTTGCAGCTTTTTTCCTATACTTAGTACAGAAGCAAATCGAAATGGGTCAGAATCAGACAGGCTTCTTAAATATAGGTGATCAGCCAGAAAACTGCTATCAGTGCATCCCTTCTTTCTTTTAATTACAGCAATCAATCTGTAAAACAATTGACTGGAGTAATCTATGTAATGATCATTAATACCAAAAATATGGTTAACTGTATTAAAGAACTTAAACATCGTTTTGAATAGCTCTGCATTTTTGACTGAACATTCTTAAGGAAAAAAATCTTGAAAATATTCTCTATTAATCTTTCATAAATTGTATTTATATATCTTTTAAATAAATAAACAAACACTCCTGACTCAGTGCATATGAGCGCTGGTGACAGAGTAAAAGAGAGTGCTTTCGTCCAGCTGTTGTCAGCTTTGGCGTTGGCGATTTTGAAAATTTGCGAACAACCACATAGGGATAGAAATTGTTCACAACATGATCTGACGTTACTTCGATAGGCCAATAAAATCAATAACATTAACTGTATATATTTCTATACGAGTACAATTTTTATTCTGGTGACTGTTTATAAAGCAATGTTAAAAAAAAATCCCTGTTTTGAAGTTACGTATTTGTTTGGCCAAACCCAATATAAAAAAGCAAAATATGCCAAATATAATCTGTGATGTTGTTATTGAGGTATTTAAAAAAAAATACAGTGAAAAATGTATCACCTACCCCTTACCCTACCCTACCCCGAACCCTATTGCAGTGAAATTAACCCGACTGTTTCTCAGATGTTCGAGGAATGATCAGCTCTTAATGACTTAACTTATTGGTTTTGCTTATTGGAATGTATATATGAGCTAATTTAAATAACTTATATTTTATCTATTTAACAATCAAAAGTATGAGAATTTCTTAAACATTTACATATGTTTTTTGTTTTTTTAATTTATAGAGGCAACAGTTGTATTCTTGCTGATGAGATGGGCTTAGGAAAGACCATCCAAACGATCTCTTTCCTCAACTACCTGTTTCATGAGCACCAGCTGTATGGACCATTTCTTCTAGTGGTGCCTCTTTCTACACTTACATCTTGGCAAAGGGAAATACTGTTATGGGCCCCGCGGATGAATGTTGTCGTCTACCTCGGAGACATCAACAGCAGGAATATGGTAGGCTGGTGTAGAGTAGGTATAGGATTTTAGCCGTTTATTTACCGACAAGAAAAAGTTAAGTTCTGTTTCTTATCGAACAGATACGAACACATGAGTGGATGCATGTCCACAACAAGAGATTGAAATTTAACATCCTCCTCACAACGTACGAAATTCTTCTAAAAGACAAGGTCTGCTTCATTTCTAATCCTACCTGTATATTTCTTTTTTTTTAAGCTTTACAGAAATGTCTCTATGTAAACACACATGTACTACCTATAAAATGTTTGTCCAGTCATTTCTAGGTGGTGTTAACTGGGCCTTCGTTGGTGTGGATGAGGCACACAGGCTGAAAAACGACGACTCTCTTCTATACAAAACAATGATTGACTTCAAATCCAGTCACAGGCTTCTAATCACAGGAACACCTCTTCAGAATTCCCTAAAAGAGCTCTGGTCATTGCTCCACTTCATTATGCCTGAAAAGTAGGTCATATTTATTGTTCCTTGGCATAAAAGTTCTCTTCATGTTAATGATATGCATATGCTTTTGTTTTTGCTAGTTAGGACTATTTCAGTCCTATCTCATCATTGATGAGGCAACAAATGTTATGGATTTCCCTATCAATTTTTGTTTTGGTTAGTTAACAATTATGAAACTCACTCTCCTCTTTCTTTCCACCTTCTCAGTACTGGTACAATCCTGAACCTTCTCTAGTTTGTAGACCTTGAAACCTCACCTTGGTTTCAAGGTGTCTCTACATTGTCATGTCATGTCTTCAAGCAGTAAAGAAAATGACTTGTTTAAATGCAGATTCTTGCTTTAAGCACCGTTTAGACCTCGAAGGATTGCCAAGCATGGAGCCTACAAAAATGCTGAAAGCTTCTTTCCTGAACAGATAATAGATCTACACCTGTCACAATAACAAACATTGCTGAACGATAAATTGTCCCAGAAGTTATTGCGATAAATTATAATATTGTTGTTTGGAGACCATCTCAAGGAATCAATCAATCAATCAATCAAATTTTTATTTGTATAGCACATTTCAGCAGCAAGGCATTTCAAAGTGCTTTACATAATTAAAATATCTTAATGTGGCTCTGAAGGTTCAGGTCAGAGTCCATCACTATTCCCAGGTTTCGGGCCTGATTGCTGGTTTTCAGTTGTAATAACTGAAGCTGTAATGTAATGTAACTGTAACGGCATAATAATGCAAGAACACAATCTCAAAAATCAATAAAGTTTAAATTCAGATGAATATTTAACCCTGGAACTGGAAGACATTTTAAATGTCTAAAATAAATCAACAAAATAACGGAAACATCAAATAAAATGAATAATAACGTTCTTAAACCAAAAGTGAGTCGAGACCAAATCACCAGACTGAAAACTTTTGTCATCCAGTTTTTTGTAGAGGGAGAAAAAAGAAGAAAAAAAAAATAAATCATACAAATGGAAATTGAGTTTGTTTGAATTTATCGTCCGATTAATTGATTTATTGCTTATTGTAACTGGCCTAAATATGCTTTTCCATGTGGGATAAAACTTTCACAGGTCAAACTGTCATGAATAATCTCTGCTGGAAATAGAATAATTCAGTTAAAGTTTGACCAGTCTATTTAGTCGTTATAAAAAATAAATAAATAAAAAAAACAGTGCCAGACTAATTCAGTCCAGTGTCCTTAAAAGTATGAGATTGTGAAATTAGTCGTCTAATTAATTTTGGTATTTGCTACTGGTCGCAATGTGTACAGAAATTGGGGCTGGACGATACTACTAAAAACTTATTACAGCATAAGCTTTTGATATCAGTCAATGCTGATAATTGTCTATCGATAATTATTGAGTAGTTTTTTTGTCTTAAATATTTGAAATGCTGACAAAATGGTGGCATGACTTTTCCTTGTTTATCCACAGTTTCACTCTATGCTATTCAATCAATCAATCAATCAAATTTTATTTGTATAGCACATTTCAGCAGCAAGGCATTTCAAGGTGCTTTACATAATTNTGTTAGATTTAACAATGTTGTACTTTGTTTTTTTTATCCGATTACTCGATTAATCGTAAGAATAATCAATAGATTACTCAATTACTAAAATATTCATTTACAACAGCCCTATTCAGAGGTCATGCCCCTCTGAGTGTTGCCTTGGCACAAATTGCATGCCACCTCAAACTGGACAATATGGAGGGTGCTCTGAAGGGCAGGTTCACCTCTACTGACATCTTGCACCATTGCAGTGTTGTAACAAAATCTCTAGATCACAACTCTTCTAACACTAAGTCACTACTGCACTGTGTTTTAGGAAGTGAAGGAGGCTCGACACAGGTATGAAACCCGACTGGTGGAGGTAGACTCTGGTCGGAAGGAAGAATATGAATTTAAACTGACTCAGGCCCTGGCTGACATGAGGGCACAAAATGAAGAGCAGATCCAGATCTACAAGGACAACATGGAGAGCACCTACAAGGCGAAAGTATGAAAACACAGACATACACATACACACATACATTTTATCAGGGCAAGTTAACATGTCAATCCCTCAAAAACATGTTAAACAAAAGACAGACATGCTGTTGATGCTTACAAACTCAAAAAACTGACATTGTCACAACATTATTGGATGCAATTATTTAATGTTACTTGGAGGTAGAATTGCTCTACATAAGGTGCTTTTCCACTAGAGCAGTGTTTCCCAGCCCAGGTGATTTCAATTGACAGGTGTTTGCTGAACTGCAATCAGGTAAATCAGGCAGGAATCAAACAGGGAAACATGGAGGGCAGTGTGCTTTAAGAAACATTACCCTGCAGTGAAACACTGCACTAGTCCGCCTCTAACTGGTACGGTCTTGGTCCGACTCGGCCAGATTAAGTTGCCATTAGCAGATCCGGCACAGCTCTGCCTGCCTCTTCTCAGGTTTTCATACCTATTTCAGGGGTAGTACTAGCCGGACTGATTTGAGTACTATGTTCAAACAATTTGATTAACACTGAATGCATTGGTAAATTGGCTCCTGATGACCTCACAGGAAACTGCTAAACAACGTTATAGTTTAGTAGTGGACTTTGAATGTAGGCCCTCGAGGAGCCATGATGGCGGCTAGCCTTTAGATGTTGTTTGGAACTTTCCTCCAACTTTATTCTCCTCTTGTCAGAACAGACATATTTGTAAGGTCTTCAACCTTTACAACAAATCGCAAAACTCATCTAGTACTTGCTCATGCGAAGTCACCGTCTCTACCAAGAAAGGTAAAATGGAGCAAGCCACAGCAGAGAACATGATAGCAGTGCTAAAGCTAGCTATCAAGGAGCAAGGAACATCTATTAGGAAATCTATCGATGACATGAAGTCTTCTATAATTTTCTCTCCACTGACATACAAGATATTAAAAGCACACTGCACAGCATGGTCAACCGAGTCAGCAAAGCTGAAGAAAAGATTCAGGCATTGGAAAACAAAGTGCTGGAGCTAGCACACGATAAGAAGCGGTGGAATCTGCGGCTCTGCGGCATGCCCGAAGAAGGGATGGAAAATGTAAGGCTGAAGATGGTGGAGGTATGTCAGAATATAATCCCAAGTTACAAAGAGAAGCTTCTGGAGGTGATTGATTCAGTCTATCGGCTTGGAAGAAAACATCCAACCAAACCACAGCCCCGAGACGACATCATCCAATTTTCTATGCAGCATTTCTGCAACTTGATCTGGAAAATGGCAAAGAATTCAGGCTACTTGAAGCAAAGAAATCTCCTGTTCAAAGAAGATCTTTCTGTGGAAGACCATGAGAAACGGAGCTGTCTGTGCCCAATAATCCAACAAGCCCGCAAGGATAAGAAGATTGCATACTTTGTAAGACGACGAGCTTTTGTGGACGGCAAGGAAATTGAATAACTGTTTCGTTGGATCCCATTCAAATTAATATGGAGGGAAAGTTCTATGTTCTCAGTTAGGTTCGACTAAAACTCGCTTGTTTGTTTTTTACTATGTTAAAGTTCTTCTCAGTTTATGCTCGAGGACTGAGGAATATCACTGAAAGAAAAACTTTATTTTTGTTTGCAAAAAATTGTGGTGCTGATTTTTGTTTGCTTCAAGAGACTCATTCCATTGACAGTGACTATAAACTTTGGAAAGCTCAGTGGGGAGAAGAGTTGTAGATGGCCCATGGAACTCACCGTGCAGCAGGTACATTAACTTTGAAACACAAATTTAATAGCAGCATCATCTTCACCGAAGACGACCCAGCTGGACACTATATTCTCACACTTATCACATATGATAATTCTTTCTTTCTTATTGGTAACATTTATGGTTATAACAATGCTAAGGGAAATATCAGGATGTTTGAAACTTTGAACTTGAACTTTTGTATTGATGCTCTTGTTAAAAAAATTTAATGATATTAAGATAATTTTAGGAGGGGATTTCAACATTACTGTAAATGATGAGGTTGACCAATGGCTAGGCCTGTCACGATAACAAATTTTGCTGAGCGATTAATTGTCTAAAACATTATTGCGATAAACGATAAAATTGACTAATAATGCATGCGATTTCCTGCCATAGATAGATGCACTTTATTTTCAAAAGAACACATAATACTGGAACTGATAAACTAAATAAACAAAACAAACAAAAATAAAATTGATTCTCTGTCTCCAATAACAAAAAACTTACTTAAATAAAAACTAAACAACATAAAGCCAAAGTGGAAATAAATACTGCATTCAACCAAAAGAGTGCAGATTATGAAGTCTGTATACTATATTGCCCTTCAGTAATCACTAGATTTAAATAGAAAAGATGGGCACATCCGACTACCTAATGCAGTAGTTCATACTACATGATTTTTCCCCCTTATGACAATCTTAGATCGGCCAACGATCTAAGATTCTCGCTGGTGATTTCGTAACCGATCAACCTGCAGTGTATGGTGTGTTACAGTAGATCGTCGTGACCGCTCCGATCTAAACCAGGGGTTTTCCCCGACTGGGAGTTTAACGCTGAATGTGACAGGTAGCCAATCAGAAAGCGCGGATTCTGATCCGTGCTTTCTGAGGGGAAATTACGGAGGGGAATCCCAAACAGCTGACACACGCAACCCGAAGTCCAGCGGACATTGGAGATGATATGTGGAAACAACATTAATATTTATTCAACATTTCGTGCAAAGAATATAGAAATGACAAGGGGAGAAGTTAGAGCCAAATTGCTACCACAGTTGATAAACCCGGTAGGTTTTCAGCTGTTCTCCATTAACGTGACATAAATAGGTTATAATGATTTTCATTCAGTCAAGATTTTACGCTGACTCTAGGCACATGCATCACAGGTAGATTCTAGTAAAGCATTGATTAATGCCCAATTTTAAAATTAGTTAACTGGACTTGTAGCCATTATTTTGTGCCCAGGTGACTGGACACCACAAGGCACGACGAACCTGATCAAACCATTATACCTAGGATTTCTGTCGGCTAATGTGT